TTGATACATCCTTTTTATAACAATTTCTTAAATAAAATATTTTCCACACTTTTGTCGCGCCATAAGCGTGAGGTTCCTAAATACGTTGCTTGACCCTTTTCATATCACAAGAGTGAAGCAGAGCGTATAGTGCTGAGCTATTGCCGTGCCGAGTGAATCAGGCTATTGTTGAAATTTCTCTTTTAAGGCAACAAATAATACCTTCACATACACACACACACTAAAGCATTGCTGCGCCTTTACTGTTACTAACGCCCAATTGATCTGTGCGATGTGTCATTGGCAGAAGCACCTACTCACTCGCACACATTGTGAAAGACACTTGTGCTTCGCTGTAGCCCCTGTTGGCTTGTCTCTCGCTCTATAATGCGTAAGCGAAGTAACCTAGCTCGGTGTGCACCAGCATCTGCTCCAATGTCAACGAATTTAGTGAACCCAAATCATCTTAAACCCTCCTAGCATTTAAATAGTACGAAGATGCTCAAATTTTATATTACTCATTTAATATTTACCCATGCAGGACCATAAGAACCGAAACTCTTAGTGTTAAGCATGGCCTAAGTGGTGACTTGGATATACATTCGTTAAGAAAGATGCTGCTGAGGCGGCAAAAGCTGATTTGTGACCGGAGAAGAAGAGTCTCTCAAAGCCCTTCTAAAGCAATCCACGACGATTAACGTGCCAGTGGGTACAAAAAGAATATTCCCAAATTCATTACTCCGCTTTCATGTAAGACGTCGGCGACATGCCTTATTGTCGTCATGCTTACACTTTGACAGGGCATATCAGTTTGCAATCACACCAACAGTTGGTCCGGGGGAATTACGATGAGTATGCGTTGATTAAAGTGGAGAGTATTCTGATTGTTCAAATTGCTAGTAGAAAGCTAGAAGGGGACGTTTTAACATTTACTTTTAAAAATTAATCTCGATATCATGAAGAAACAGCAGTCTCGGATTTTATAGTGGAGGAAGTAGGACAGTGATGGCCTTCTGTGATATGGTGAATCCATGAAACTGGCGAAGAACGGGGGGTGACAAGACTGTTGGCTCCCATATCTGTTATCGTTGCTGTCGTTCTGAGATGTCAATGCAAGTTGCAAAACTTTTAACAGCCGTTGTCATAGCATCACCAAAGTTAAGTGGATTCTTCACATGCGATTAAAAAGGCCCACCTAGAAAATTACTTAATTAAAGTTTGTCATTCAAACTCAAATCTGTTATTTAGTTCGCTTCCGATTATGCGGAACCTTAATTACTTTTCTTTACACACCCTTACTGTTGTGTTGATTTGATAGCTAAAGCGATGCAATGTATTTAGGTCTGTCAGTACTGTTGAATCGTCACAGACCAGGCTAATTCACTTCATCATCGGTGCTGAATTGCTGACTTTGAGGCGCTGTACCCGCTCCCCCACGCTTTCGATTTGTGCAACTTTGTCACATTACATGTCATAAATCTGTGTTCACAAGATTGACTCACGACTATCGTGCTACCGCAGAGTACCACTGCTTGAGGTCTTCTGGTGATATCTGTCAGGATGGCACCGCCTATGATTACTGAAGTCTACGGCTTATCACTGCATTTAGTAATGTCATGATGTCTGCCCATTTCATAACTGTCAAACTGGCAGTGTAAGCTTGACTTGAACGATTCTTGTGGGGACTTAACCTTGGCTCGATTGTAACATAGCACTCTTTCGCTCCATCCAGTCAGTACCGAAGCTAGTCTGAGGGTCATGTGGTTCGAAGTGTGGCTATTTACTCGGCTTAGGCATAAACAATGTGCCTTTTAAACAGTATGTTAATTAGCTTTACTAGGCATGTGACTTTGGCGCGGTGAGACTGTCTCCGACATTTTTTGACCTCTTTAGGCATTCCCTTCTTTAACGCCAAATTAACAGAACGCGATAATTTCATATTTAGATCCTAAGGCATCGGGGTGTCAATAGGTACTGAAATTCAGACTTACCTTCGATGCCAATTTTTTTTGGTGTCTCAGCCAAATGGGTTGGAATGAAGACAATAAAAGCGATATATAGTGCTCCTGGTGTCACATTAGAACCGCAGGTCAGATTTTCCTTTCTAAGGTAATCTAGTTGAACTAACTACAAAGGTGAAGCATTCGTTACTAACATTGAGTAGGTTTACATTACCACCTATTTCTTTGCGAAGTCACTAAAAATCTGCATGCTTTAAAAAAGCGTTTTTGATAGGCATAAAGCTTTCAGAGAGAAAGTTGTGAGAACTCAACAAACCTCGTAGGACCAGTGTGGCAGCCAAATGGGTGATTCAACCTCTTGCACATGTCTGTAACCCTCTGTGGCAGAGCAAACACCCCACGCATTGTTGCACCATCTTGAATAATCAAATATGGCGTTTTAAAGGTTTTATTGAGTTTTTTTGCTTGCAGAACCTCGCACTTTAATCTTTGGTGCTTGTTTAAATGACAGTGTTTTTGCGCGGCAGCTTAAACCGCCAGGTCTTCTGTACCAAAACAATATCCTCTAATCAAGATCTATAAATTTACTGTAATAAGTCAATTGTTAGTTTAACTCGATTTTGGGATCGGACTACTTAGGGGCTCCGCCGAGCAGCACGGCCTCCAAGCTACTGTGCCTTAACAATGTGTATTTTGTTCGAGTATTGTACTTTCTTTCCTCTTCTAAGAGGTCTTGGGCCGCTATACTTACCTCCGAAAATTGATTTGCTTGACTTCCCGATTGTTTCATGAAATACCTTTCGCTATCAACATGCAAACGGTGACCCTGAAATGGGTTATCCAAAACTTTTTTTGTAAAAGACTGAAAAATCAAGATTTCTCCATTATCGTATTTCTGGACCGACATTTTTTTACCCCATCTAATACCTTGCTTTATATGAAAGAGTGAGATACGTTAACATAAATCCGTGTTTTAACTATGAACTCAACTGCACGGGTCCTTTCAGTGTCCCATGATTCGCCATCCATGCTGGTAGTTTGGGTCTCTGCTTTCCTGTCTGTTACCAGTTTTAACAAAACTACCAGCAGACTTGTGACTTTGTATCTTGAAGCGAACCATATGTAGCGGTCCTGTTGGCATGGCTCTGAGTAGGTGATTTCGAGACCTGCGCAAGTGGTGTAATAGTAGAAGACTTAACCCGACATCGCGCTACAAGTAATTACCACTGCACTTTTAATATATCATCTCAGATTGCATAACATTGCTTCATAGGTATCACTTCGCATGATCACCCAAGATCAGCGCAATTACAAAGCCTCCGAATGACTCCCACACTTGATGGGGGTACCTCCAGGGGGTTGTCGGTGGAATCATTAAATAGCGAAGGCACCACGCTTAAAAACCCACGGCAGCGAGTTTTTGAGAGCGTTTTGATGACTGATAACAATGTAATTGCCTGCACACTTTATAAAAAGCTACTTCTGTGAGCCTGAATACGGAAAGTTACACATCCTTTTATTGGCTCAAGGCTGTTCCATTTTCGAAAAATATCTCATCCCGAAGGCTTTCTGGAATATCTTACTAGTCGGGGCAGTTAAAATTACACACAAAGAATACAAACTTGCAGATTCCACTTGATTATCTCCGTTTCTTTCTCACTTTTACTTTTCCATCACTTATTCTGTAATTGGATAGTGCCAAGAAAAAGGCAGTAAGCACCATTTGAAGAAGTATCGTCGAGGGGATTGGAAAAATTAAGCTGGGGCAGTCTCCCTTTCTGTCCACCATCTGAACTAAAGTGCAGACCTTTGCTGCCAAAGCCAACCTCGTGGTACCAAGAACTACCCCGAGGTCAAGATGAAATTCCCCTACCGTATGTATTCTTCAAAAGAAGAAGACGTGTAGGTATCGGCTTTTTTACAAAACAGATAGTACAACGCGTATTGTTTCAAAAAATACGATGAAATTCTACCCGAGTTGAAACAAATGTAATCAGTAAAAACAGACCCCTAGCAATTTGTCTGGAAAATCACAACTACTTTTATAGAAATAAGTAAGCCTAGGAAAACAACCCCAATTCAGCTCGAGAGGAAAGATATGTAGTGGTTGTTGATGAAGGTAAAAAAAGACTGTGGGAACAATTAGTCGGTCCTCAGGGCTGAATAGATGGGGACGTACATTTGTAGCGAGTAGGAGGCGATGATGATGGTGAATTCGACTACGAGGAGGGCTATCACCATGTACAGCCAGATATACATGTTCGATTCTAAGTACATATACATGGCGGATGCACAGCCCTAAAACGGGAGAATGGAAGTATATCGTGTTTGGTACGTTTTTCGACTCAGGCAAGCCCCTTCGAACCTTTCATATCAAATGGTCCAACTTCGTTATCGTATGGTGAAATTCGTTCTAACCAAGTTAAAGATGGTATGATGAGCCACCAAGTCTAGATTTCTGGGATTCTCTTCATACATCTGCATCAAACTAATAAAGCCATTTGCACAATCTTGGAAGTGGAAAGAAGTGTGTATATTTTGTGGATTTGATTCTACCAATTTGGCTAACGATTTGAAGCTGTCACATGTTAGGACGTTGGCTAGCTACTTAAGTACCTCAGTAGCATATTTTTCGGCGTTCAGAATGGCGTAAAAGGAGTGATCCACTTCACTTTTGCATAAATCAAAAAATTTCATTAAAATTTATCCCCAAAAGAGGGTGTAAATTCAACTAAATCGTTATTCAACTACTTGATAAGAAAGTTTTAAGTAAATCTCACCTAATTAAAAAGTTATTTGACACCTTCGCTACCAAGTAGCATCTCGCCAAGACCGAGATGCTTATTGTTTCAATTACATGGGCCGTAGTTACGTCCACTTTATTGTTTGGAGCTCAACCCATCCATTTCCAACATGATGAAAATTTCGTGCTATAAGCTTATTCGAGTCATTCTCAGGAAATTTCTCAACGAATTAGGACCCTTAGCCACCCCAAATGATTTTCCTGGCAATCGTTCGTGGTTTCTTGAAGGGATATGTGAACTTACTCTCACATACATTCCCGGATAGCTGCAGACGCCTTCGAGAAGTTTTGGATTGACACAACAGGAAAGGGGAGGTCCTTGCTCCCAGTCACTTTGTCCATCAGCACCACAGCACTTGTACTACAGACAAAAATATTCAGTGTGTCTTAGTAACTTTTCATTACCTGTTATAGATGGTGGAGACAGATGAGTACTGCCACCGTTTTGTCAATCGAAAGGCACTAAAGGATGACACTGCCAAAGAGAAGTTACATTACTGATTTTTATGTCAAAATCAAGGAGAATTTGGATGCATTCAATTTATTACGGCACTAAGCCTACTCAATACCATCCATCCCATCATGGGCTAAATCTCAATGGTAGGCCTTTAGGCTTACCTCTTCTTGAAATCATCTAATAAAGATAATTGAACTGCCACCTGACCCTAACAAAAGTTACAAATTTTTTGCTAAAAATGCAAGAATTGTTCTGCAACTGAGGTAGGCTTTATAGGGTTTGTAGAAATGCAAATCTCACCCATTAATTAAGTAATTTTTGGTAAAAAAATGTTCAAACTTCAGTGCCATAGGTTCTACTTATACATTTCATGCCATTTGATCAAGCGATGTGTAACGCTTAAAAAACTGTTTTGAGGGCTTAATTTCAGGGGACGTAATTAATCTGGGACAGATATGTGAAACTAGACATCGAAGTTAACGCTGGTTGGACTTAATATGCCGAAATTGTGAATTGGATCTCGTGACTAATGATTTTTTGTACATCTTTATAAGTAGTATAACCGCAAGCTCTATCACGAAGTTGAACTCTGTAGTAGGTCCCAAAGAAGGCAACTGTGATTATGTATAGTTAAAAAGCTTAACTCCTCGGCGTCAGCTTCCTACCATGAGCTAAGAGACTAAGGTCATATTTTTTTCTACGCAAGGCGAAAGACCAACAAGCCTTAAAACGACTGACTAACTGACTTGGCCAGTTGGGACTCTGTGTATCTCACCAGGATCTTGCTTTTTACCTACAGCCTGCACGGATCCAGAGGTGGATGGCCAAAAGGTTCCCTTAATGCGTTAATCCCATTCCTCCTGACCGGTGCCTTTCTGAAGCGGTATTGAGAGGGTTAACAACGAGGATGTCCGCAACGCCAAGGACTCATTAATACCTTCCACCATGGTCGCTTTGATCGACAAGAGTGAAGAGCGCCTTAGCCCTACTGTGCACTGATCAAAAACCATTGTTCTATTTTGGTACGCTCTAAAAACAACTTCAGAGATGACCTGAGACGCTGCAATATATCGGCATTTTTGAGACCGTATTGGGACAGATCAAGGTTTCCCTGCATGCACACCCCAAACGTTGAAAGTGTGTAGATAAATAAATATTTACTCGTGTTTGGATTTTCTCGAGTATCAAGTCGGCCTCCGATTTGAGAGCATTTTCAGCCTCAGCGATCAATTGGCGGATCTCCTTCGAAGCCGCCGATACGAGCTACAAAGGTGGACACGATAAAAATTGGGTAAAAAAGGTGGACAGTATCAACCTACGTCCTCTCGTATGTTATGAAGCGTTAGTCCAGCGGTGAGTTGACCAAGGAAGACCAGTGTAATGAGCACGATGAACTTAAAAAGAAGGAAGAAACAGATGTTACGCTAATGCAAGCCACGCAAGGCAACATGGAAAGCTACTTCCAATCTTTACTGCCTTTTATAGCTGTACTACAGTCTAACGTGAGTATCAAAGTCATGTCTGCCGTTTGGATCGACAACATACCAATCGGATGGCGCAAAGGTTTACTACGAGAGCGCCGATGTAGCCAAGGCTGGTGGTGACGATGGTAACCCCACCGAAAGTCATCAAAGCCAATGGAAGTACGATTTGGAGGAGAGTACAGTGAGTTCTGCAGTTTTCGAAGAAGAAGAACATCCCGATGCCCAATAAGACTAGCCCGAGGAGCTGCAACGATGCAGCGGTTTGGGTAAGGTTGAAACTCATGTACAAGCGTTGCTATGGCAAAGCCGACTTTTAGATGATTAGTGGGTGGGTGATCGTAATTTCTGATGCAAAATGACTATGTGGAATGTGAGCGAAGTTAATGAATGCAAAGTGGTGGCAAGACTGTGACTAAAAGAAAGAAAATTTCGGCATATACAGTTTGGAAGTAGGAAAAGTGTTTCAATAATAATTTGTTTCTATCGTTAATTAAGTAGCAAAGTACGGTGGGATGCGTTGATAAGGAAGCATTTGAAGCGTTACACAAATTTTTACAGAAAAGAACGGCCACAGAGGCTGAGGCGGAATCGCGGCCGTCATGGGTCTTTCCTTAGAGGTTTACACTATTCAGATGGTTTTCTATGTATCGTAGTGTGCTCTGAAGTCATCTGTACAAACAGATATCCGTGAGTTCGGGTTCCCAAGGTAATGTCACTACATTGTTATACACCATCATACCTCGACTGGAGAGGACTCATGGACAGCAAATACGTCTGCTGTTAGTACTGTATGGAACACCTCTACGGCAACACCTCTTTTTCACCACTAAAGCCCCGGTTTGAGTTGAACACTCCTTTATTATTACCATAAAGTGGTCCATTTTGAATGGATGGAACTACATTCACCTCATTAAACCCTTCTGTGTTTCAAATGGAGTCTCTGCGGGCCTCCTTTATCACCAGATATTATCATAGAATTCGACACAATCCTAGTCCACAAGGCCAGGGATATAAATGATGCGCTGGATGTTCTACAGCAAGCTGTGAGGTTTCAACGTTTACAATTTTGGTGCTGAAAGGACACTGATGTGCACCAGCTAACCATAAATTGTGTGAACAAACACAGAATCTAAACAACAGTCCTCAGGACTACGTGCAGAGAACATAAACTGACCTGGTCCTCGGTTCATTGATATTAGTACAGAGCAGCTCTAAAGGGGCGGTTAATGCCACCTCAACATAGTAGCTCTAATAAAAAGGTCAAATCAATTTCTTGCACTTTTAGGGGACCAAAATGTACAAAAATACGTACTTTTTCATTAATTTTGAATGACTCACACGACCAACCATTCAGGTGAACGCCATGTTTGTTCCCATTGTTACAAATGGCATTGTGGCCGCAATCTTGGGGTTACGGATACATGGAGGTATCCCTTATCACACAACAATAGCAAATTTCAACAAGTTGCACCACATACAGATTTGCTGAGCCTCAATAAACAATTTAAATAAAAGATGTTTTTGTTTCTGGGGAGAATCAAGTGGTCACTCAACTTTGAAAGCGCCCAGCGCTTTTGGCACCGGGTTTTTGTTTTATTTTGTCTACTTACATGAATGTGAACCGACATGTTTTTAAATCCAATCCGAGTTGTGACCTTTTGCTGTGTTTTGAAATAGTCGTGCCACCTTCCATTGTTGATGTTATCGCGCAGCATTAACGAGGCCGGCGCAGCAAGAATAACGTTCAAATCAAACCGATACTAAGCAGAGACAAGTGATTCCATTTTTCCGCATAGTTCTTCACCACCTCCATACACTTATCTCGATGCCTAAATTATACTTGATTTGGAAAATGCCTTCCCACCAAAACCAGCTCTGGACACTTTAGCTCTCGTCTCAGTATCCAGAGGGCGCCAACACCTCCAAAATGCGGGTGTTCGTGTTCATAAATAATTGTGTTGTGTTCATAAGCGCCATAGACAGATTAGTCCCTTATACACCTTTATTTCAGGATAGGTAATCTATGCGATGATTAGGCGTCCAAGATTGGATGGAGAATGTCTGCAGGAATTACTGTTGCTACCGGGACCCTCCGCATCCTACACCTTCACTGACAGCCGTTCGACAGGCCTTAAAGTGTTTGCACCATTGGAATAACTTACTGCTGATTAGCCAAGCTTTCCAAGTGGTCTACTTGGGATCTTTTGTTGATTCAAGTATCCATGGGCTTTCCTTTACGCCTTCGTCAAGAGGAATCTTCATTTGGTATCGCACACTGCTGTTTGCACGTTCTGCAATTGTTGTTAATCGTCTCAATGAACGATATTGAAATGGGCTTGTCACCACATTTGGGTTGGTAGTTAGTAGTGATGCGTATCTTGCAGCTACTCCTATGTGTAGTACCACCGCAGTAGTATTCCCTTCGCGCTGTAATATAAAACCGAGTCCCGGCTTCGTTTTAACATCTTAGTGCACAACAACGGCCATTGTAGTGTTCGGCTACTTTTATTATAGTAATTAATGGCTTCATGCTTGTCAGAACGATAAACACACCCTTTAGAAGTTCACACCTCATATCAAACGCTAGCAAGAACATTTTATCCTCGTACGCAACCTTCCTACGCTTGATATCAGATGGATGAAGAGTCGTGTTGTCAAAAAGTTGATCATGTATGCCATTGGAGCAAGACCAACACTGATTCAGGTTACGAGAAGGGTAGGCATTTGTTTGCGTGCTACAACCGGTTCAAAGTTCACGTGTGCTTGTGCGTGCAGTCCACGACAATGCTGAACCGGTACAAACGCGATGGCAGACATGATAGGACTTACCTCGCCTATTTACTACCTACTTACTGTTCTCGTAAAGTTGCAAAAAGATCTTCCTTGATCAAATCTTGCCATTTAGTTGTATAATCTCGGAGTAATTGTTCAATCATTCTAGAAAGGTTAGAGGGTGTACTTAAAGCAGTCTCGGTATGATGAAACGGTCCTGCATTTCTGGCGTTTCGATGAGATTGTCCAGTTATTTCAATCCGCATTCATCAAGCACAATAAATGGTTATGGTAGATCGTGACAAAAACAAGATGGTTCACAGTCTAAGATACTGCAAGGAATGCATAATTCGCACAGTCTGGGGATAGGTAAAGGTGAAAGCTCAAATTGATCAGCAAAAGGGTTGACTGTGTTGGTCAATCTGTCTCTGAGACTCCGATGTCGAACTTGTTGATCTGTAAGGTGAAATAATTTTCCTGACACAGTTTAGCAGTACAGGGTCGCATCATCGTGACAAAATGCGTCTCTGAGACGAAGCTCCATCGAATCCGACTTTGTCGATTCTGTACCCATGCACACGAGTACAAAACACCACGTAAGGTTAAAAGAGAAGTCGACAAACTGTTTAATTATAAGTGTAACGCCGTTGGACCTCTCTGAAGATAAAAGAAGATATAATACTCGGGCAGAGGACGTGTTGTCAGTGCAGAGAAGGGCTTGGGGCTACTGGCACGGCCCAGAGGCCGGTCTGCTGGGCGTAGGTACATTGGCGGAGCCCCTAAGCGGCCCGTTACCAAGACCGACGAGTAAACTAACAATTAAAGTATTACAACAAGAACGTAATCCGAGTGTTGTGTTGCGATGACAACTAAGCGCTATACCGAAAATTTTACGTACTTAATCAAGTTGTAAGAGGTGACCATTCCATTCAACGAGGAGGGCAGAAATCTTTTCTGACTGCCAACAGAAGTAGCGTATCTGGATTTGGCAATCGAGATATTTGCAAACGTCTTTAGAAGAATGTCTTAATTACTCCTGGAAATACGGATTTGCTGTGATAATTTAGGGAGCCTCGCGGTTACAGACTAAAAGACTGGCCGTTGGTGCGCATACAGAGGTGACTTCCAGTGGAAGTAATTGTGAATTCACACCCTCAAGGCTGATTTAGAAAACACGTCTCCTTAGAAGAGTGGACAAGTTGTGACAGGCATCAGGCCAGCAGGAGTTTTTAGCTGAACGAATGACACTGTATTCCACACCAACGAATGGCATCGCTCGTTTACCAGGGAGTGTAATTGGCACCCCAAAGGCATAAGCCAAAAAAGGCGGTGAATTTAAGCTAAACACAGCGCGCACCTTCGTTACATCAATTCACGAAGGTGTAAATTAACATTGAGAGGAAATGGGTGGCCAAATGTTTTCACATTAGAGCCGTCAACACCGGTTTCACTGTTTTCTCGCGTCATACGCTCAACATCTGATAATTTTCATACCTATTGTTTTGGTAAATGAAATACCAACTGTTCCCACTTGACCAAATTCTGTTACCGACGCATCCTACACCCACGCAAGTTGGCGCTGAAGCACGTCAGATAGCCAGGAGGAGTGAGAGGGGGTTAATGGGGTTCACGGTAGGACTGAACAGTGTGGTTGTTTGTGCTCGCAAGGCTTCAAAAATTCGAAAGATCGTTTCTTGTTTAGCATGACAAATATGATCGTACTTCAAGAAGACTGTACGACTAAACTGGCAAGCCGAGCAATCGTGAGGATTTATGTGAGAATAGTAAACAAATAAGGAGAATGTTTGACACTTACGAAAGCGAGGGAGGTGAGGAGAAGAACAACTATGCGCCAGAACCGTAGAGGAGTGGAGAGGCTCATGTCTGCTTACTAGATCCGATGGTAGCAACACCGCAGAGAAGAGGCATGTCACGAAGACAACCACGTGAGGTATACTGATCCTTGCGTGCGTGCGTACGTGTGTGCAAGTATGCTGGCTTACGTACATGCATGCCAAACAAACATACGCACCCAACCCTGCAATCTGATTGGCTGACGCAGTGACGACGACTTCAACGACCTTGGTGGGTGTTGTGCTCTCTCGCTTGACCACTCCCGTGGTGGCTCTCACCACATCTGATAAAGTGTCGCGCATGCACCATTGTTATGGCTGAGTGTATGATGCAGAACACTAGGAAAAAAGCGCCTTCCAGGTGTTATATCCCGCATCTCAGGCAGATGATGCGTTAATCCGATTGGCTGTTTCTCGGCTTAACACTTACCACTCAAAGCCTAGTGTAATCGTTTATTTATGACATTTCAGTCCTCTTTTAAAATCCACCAATTTAGGGAAATTAATTTAACTGATTAACAGGTTTGCAGTGAGTTAGTTGGATGGCTTGAATTTTGTGTCGCAAGCAGTGAGTTAGTTGGATGGCTTGAATTTTGTGTCGCAAGCAAATTGCTTGCGTTCAAAGCACGATTTCCTTATTTATTGGAGAACTTGTCAAAGTGTTCCTCGGTAAAACCTTCACTAAAGAGTTAATTCAAGGTATCTTTCTCTTGTTTTTTAGTCCATTGGTGGATGGTGTGTGTATCCACTTTAAAATTGTTTCAAAGTGGGTATGAATGAGTCATCTGTGGGGTGGACGTGCACCCCCGATTATTGCGTGACCGCAGGGCTCCTCTGATTGGTGCGCAATTTTATCAAAAAGTCAATAATAGCTTCATCCCAATGCTGCGTTAATACTACTCATTTTAAAAAATTCCGATTAAGTAGCACTTCCAAAACGGTAAGATTTACATTTTGGCGATTGTAAGGGCGTTTCTAGTCGCTCATTTACATTGAAAAATAAGGGCTCTAGCCTCAAGGCCTTCACGATCCAGTCCAACGTTCCAACACAAAAAAAGCTGAAGATACGATCCCGGATTGGTAAATGGTTGCTTTTATGAATTCTTTTCTCATACAATTAAAAGCAATGCATTTAACCAGTTTACCGCCAAGCTCCATTTCAGAGGAAAATCTACCACCACAGGTCACAGAAGTAATGCCCAAAAACAAGACATCGTGATCATCTTCCCCCGGACCAAAATCAGTCGACTCTTCTTTTTGCCGTCTTGATCCCAACCAATCTACCTGTCACATGATTTGGCAAAATGCCACAAGTGTATTTAAAGCCGTTCCGCTATGAGGAAACGGTCCGGCATTTCTGGCGCCTTATAGAATTTGCACCGAATCTGCCTTGAGATTGAATTGTTATCTCAGCCACTGTTCAGTTGGATGGCCTTATTGCCATATTTCTTAAACACAATAATTGGTTGCACCAGATCATTGACAGAAACAAGTTGGTTCAGTTTGGTGCTAAAATATTAGGAATTTATTTAGTCTGAGAATAGGCAAACATTCCAATTTTGAGTGGTAAGGCTTAAACCAAACAGCACAAAATGCGTGCTGTGGTAGTTGATCATTCACTGGGACTCTGACGTCGAACACATGCCACATACCTGTGACGTTGAGGATAGGCGTGTCGGTTTGAAACCTGGACCGCCTTATCGCCTAAGAGTAGCTTAACGTAGAAGGCTTAAGCGAGGTCTTCAGGAATGCTTAATGTCAATTTTTGAGCAGGAATCTCTTCAAGTACCATTGAGTTGATGTTTTCAATAGTAGGGGCTTTGGGACAGTCTACTACTTAAAGGTTCATCAGTACCTTTCAAAGTGTGTTCCCAGAACTTTAAATTTCACCATTTGTAAAAATTGTGAAAGGATTTCTCACATATATCATTGCGTAAGAAATTCAACGAAATATAGGTGTTTGAAGTAGTACATGTAAACGCTTTAGTGCAGTGTTTGGGACTTCTCTGAAGCCTTTATAAGGTTAAAATGGTGAACAGAAGAGCCGATGAACAGCTTATATTTGTACAAGAAGTATTCTTGAGTTAAAGTGATGATTTTAAATTACTTACACTGAGCTTTAACTAAGCTTTAAGGTGAGAAGCACATTTAACACCGCACTAACAGTATGTGATCCTTCCTTGAATGTCAATCCACCTACCGCTTTTCCTGTGTCTTCAAATTTCAGTTCGGTACTCCATGAAACTAGCTGTACAGCCTCACCATAATTATCTGAGGAGGACTCATAATTTGTTGGGTATGATTATCTTCATTTATTAAACACGAGCATCCACAGTGTTTTTTTCTTTGTCACTTAAATGGAATCCCTTTAATTAAATTCCGAATATAACAGCACAGGCCAAAACACCGGAGAAGATCTGAAGTGCTGCCACGAAGTTAACACAAATTCCAAGTGGAATGGCATAGCTCTGTATCCTTTTGCTCAGCTCGACTTCATTTTTCTGCAAAGATATCAAAAATATTAATGCGACAACATTTTCGTTACTGTATAACAAATAGGTACTTGAGTTTTTCATCAAATTGCCTCCGAAATTGTTCCTTTGTAGTAGTTTTGTAAATAACTGGCATCCAGAAAAGTGGTAGTGCATGTTGAATTGGTATTTGGATGTAAATTCCACTGATGGGTAAAAATAGCCGCCAATTTTGTTGTTATAAGTATGGCAAAAATTTAAAAGCAACTATGTGCCTAAATCGTGAGATAATACTTGGTGAATGCTACTTAATTAGGTAGTTTAGTAGCTTTTGCCTCCATCTGCCAAGATCTAGACCGGGGAGTTCAATTTCTTAACAAGAATCTGGGCGATACTTATTTCTAAGCCTCTTGATTTTCTTTAGTACTTGAAAGACCTTAAAGCAGTGTGTTAATGGACTAGAACTAAGAGATCGCAATAGCTGTTTTTAAGCCACTCCATCAGTGAATGCAACCTATGCACTAGTACCTTAGACCCAAATAGCTATGTGGCCAATATGCTCAGGTAAACGCAGAGGTCACCTTACCATATTGTCCAATGTGGCCAACCATTTGTAAGCATTCGTCAGGCTAGCGTTCCTTGAAATACCGGAGGTCTGGTTCATTAATGCACGCTACCTGGACGATAGATGAATAGGCAAACTTACCTCATTTGCTACAAGAATTATGGTCAAGAATAGTCCAATTTCAATTAAAGCCAGGATTGTTGTAGCTAGGGAAAACTAAGGGAAGGAAATAGAATCGTATTTATTTAACATAGGCTCAGGTGAATTAATGAAGAATATGTATTTTTTGCAAACATGATTATTTAATTTTACAAAATATCATATGATTTACTACTTATTAAACATAAGTAGTATTTATATTTGCCACCAAAATGACTCACAGTTCCTAATATCCAGGGCTTTTTAAGCAGAGCCCCTATGCAGCCGAGGAGGGAAATGATCATTAAAGCGATACTGATTAGGACAACTACGGCCACCACTGGAAAATTCTCACCATCGTGTTCAGGCATGGTCTTTAACACATACGCCACATAGATACCCACTCCGAAGACATTGGCACCGAGCACCTGTATGGGAAGGAAGAAATGCACGAACACGAGCGCACTGATTGTGAAGACAAGCAACCAGATCGCCCTAGGATAAATCCAGCGTACCGGCAAATTCGCCAGTCTTGAAAATGTTTGCAAGATCATGTATAAGGTTTATGGAGGCAAGAGAGTACTATGTGGATTATGTGCCCACTTGAAATTTACTCGTTTACTGCCAGTGGGAAAATCGAAAGTCTAGATTTGAACCTGACACTACCTCTAAGCCATTACAGTATAGGGATAACTTGCTTTATAAAAACCTAAATTGTTGTTTTTGAATTAGGTATGGAACATCAACCCTTGACATTTATCCCTGATTCCAACAGCTGAAGGAAATGTGCTTAGTTTATAATAGAAGGGTAATTTTAAAGAACTGTAGCTTACCAGATATATCGAAGCCAAAGCTATAACCGAAATTTGCATGTATCTCATCTGTGACTCCAGCATGGCTCTGTCTCGGGGAATGAATTTGTAGTAAATGCTGTGGCCGCAAGGCTTTACACAGAAGCGGGCATGGTGGCTTATCTAAACATGCGGGAAAGTTGTTTTTTTTGCAGGACCTATGATTTTCATAAAATGTGGGTTTAATAGACTTAAAACTGAATATAAAATATGGAGTTTTTGCAGCATTACGAGTTTTACACGGACACAGCACCAGTGGAAAACATTAAACTGAGCTGCCAGAGCTACTCCCAGCCAAGGCAATAAGTGGTATTCTTTAGACGGTATGAGATCTTACAAGAATAGGAAGTTAACATCTCCCTTCGCCTTCCCAAAAGACTAACTAATCCTGGCTTCTTCCTAAACATTAGCCTTCTGAGAACGAAGTAGTGCGTGCCTTAGAAGTGTGGGATAAGAAATGAGTGAAATATTTGAGAATGATTAATAAAAATTGGGATTTAAACTCACCCAAAGAGGAGAAGCTTCAAGCTTGATTAGTCAAGCAGTAAATGCTGCTGAAGCAGCAGTTGTCGAATGAGGATGGGCCACAGCTCTCACCGATTAGTTGCAGTCTTGATCCTAAGGCCAAAAGTTCCTCACAGACAGCTTTCTAAGCGTCCTTCCAATGGCCTCCTTTATTCTCATGGGTATGATAGTAATGGAAAGACGATTCAGTTGTGATTTCACCGCCGAGTTATACGTGAATCAAGTAGTATATTTTCGTGATTTTGGCCTCACTGGCTAGCAGTGATATTTTAGAATATGTCAGGTACGGTTTAATCATTATTAGTTTATTTAAACGCGTTTAACGTTTAAAGAATTTCTATCCGCGGTCCGCTCAACGGCTGACCCCTCTGTGACCTCGTTAGCGATATTTCTGACGCTCATGGTGCTTAAATGGTCATAGCCTAACAAGATGCCATTTGGCAAACCTTTTGCAAGTAGAGAGGTCATACTAGATCCCTCATCGACAGGACCATTAGATGCTTTTTGGTTTTTCCATCCCCACGTATCGATGCGGCTAGGGAAGTTCCATGCTTACCTGCAATCATGGTGATATCATGTCAACAATGGTGCATGCCTTGACACTCGATTTTTGTTGCTCATAGGGTCAAAGACAGGTTCTGTTCGAAGTTGATGGCTATCTCGCTTTTGGTCGTTCCGATTTTTTATAACATCAATAGAACTTTCCATCCACCAACAGTCTCAACGCAGTCATTCCACTATGCCTTTTAATTCTATTGAGTACGGTTGTTTCAGTTTTCTATCGGACCTGAAATGCAGACTTCCGTGGTGCTTTTTTAGGACCTAGACAGGTAAAAACATCCAGAGCGAGTTTTGGGGTGTCTGAGGATGTGACAATAATTCGGTTTAGATGATCGGGGGTACCCATTAGTGTAGGCAGCAACAAGAGCTTTTACATTTTCTCAAAGAAAGAAAACATTATTTGTGATCAAACTTATCTATTTCTTTCACAGACTTAGATTTCGGCAGTAATATTCGCTAATGTTGGTTGCACAAAGACGTAGAAAGGTCACAAGATCTGACAGATTATGCACTGATTATCCAGCATCGGGCGTTCCATCTACAGAATTGTCATGAGAATAACTGATGGAGGCTGGTGAACACCAAAGCTAAGAATGCCAATGACAAGGGTGCGGCGGTCATTGGAAAATTTACACCACTGAGATGAATTACTTCTTAGCAACTTTGTGTCCAACCATTATAGTCTGCGGTACGAGATGTCCGCAAGCCTTAAGTTTCAAATCACAAAAAGCCTCATAATCACAAGCTACTACACATGTGGCAAGTATTTGTTTGCATAAACTAATTAACATCAAATGTAAATTTTTACACATTGATTTTACACTGATGGCAATTCAGTAGTGTTTTATTTTCATGCGTACTAATGTTTGTTTCCGAGCTTCATCAGTTAAGAAAAATGGCGCTGTGGTACAAGTACGAGGCTGCAACATGGCATCCGGACACTTGTAAAACCGCGTCCCGATTGTACACGAAACATCTGGTGCTGTGCCATTTGGTGTCGGGAGCAGCTTTGTTCCACTTTTTTGGACACTTAGACGACTTCCGCATGTGTGACTAGCTGAGACGGCTAAGGCTTAGGTAGATGAACGGAAGTCAGTGTGTAAACACAACCGCTTTGTGTGTGTGTGTGTGTGTCGTGCACACAGAGACAAAAAGGGGTCCGATTTCGCAAAGATTTCACTGTTATCTCACGGTGATTAATAGCCGGCAGCTCCACCTGTTCAATTGATCATCTTGAAGTCGGTAAATAAGCCAACGAGGATAACGGATTACAGACTATGGAAAATAGAAGGACAAATCTAAGGGAAAAAAACTTGGTTATTGATGCACAAGTAGCAAAGGAACAGGATTATATATTCAACTTGCAACTCTGTACGATTGACCCTCAAGTCAAACTTCAGATCCTTACAGTTGCCGCCATAAGCTTGGCTGTTGCTGTGGCGATGCCAAACATATTTGCAATTGAAAAGTATGCCCCATTCCTGATGGTTGGCATATCTGTCGCGTACTGGTTTACTTGAAGTACCGTTCATTAAGATGGTAAACAATGGTGGTGATGAATGAAGATTACTGCCCATGAAGACACAAGGTAAGACTAGTGGATACTTGTATCTACAAACGATTTCCAGCACAGCACATTAGGGTGAGGGTACCCTCATCTACACAGTAATGTGATATTTGATTGGTTTAAATGTCCAAAGGTGGCCGTGTGTCTGCCAGTGACAAGGGTTGGCATGTCGGTGTGTACCCGGCCCAATCAATCTCGAACAGGAAGGTAGACAAGCTCAGAGGAGTTTAATGGTGCAGCATTTTGAAGGGACATTGTAGTAACTCAATTGGAAGATGCTATTTTGTCCTTTATAAGAAAAGGTACTCGGTTTGAGTGATTTTCACATTTTTCGACACCGAAAAATCACCTTGGTCGTTAGCATTTCAACGCCGATGGCGAATCGAAATAAACTGGTCTAGGATCATTAAATTGCACTGGCGAATACGATTTAAAGGAATGTTTCATAGGCCTCTCCGCTTATCAGCATATTCGCCTTGTATAATTTATCAACAGAAGTTAATGTGCCAATTTAGAAAAATCAACATCTTCTCCACTCGTCTTTTGTGATTGTACTTGATTTCAACCATTCACACCAAGTTCCCTCCTTTCATGCTTCTCTCATGTGCTAAAGTCTTTGAGGTGTCGATACACATAGGCAAGAGAGTGCATTTGTCAACACCGCACACCATTCGAAAGGGGTAAGTAATGTCGGGGTTATACCTTGCCGCCGCCATCGCTGTGCATGCAGGCCCGTAGGTCCATTCATTAGGGATGTTCAAAAAGGATGGGAACGGAAATAGTACACTTTTAAAGGCGAAGCGGCTCGTTTAAATCTGGTCTTGCTCACTTGCTTGCTAAGGGGATGGCTGTGAGTCTGTGCGTAAATAGCTGTCTATGAGAGGTGCTTCCATTTCATAAGACATCGCTTTTACGGTTGAATTTACCTACACGGATCCTTCTTTCTCCGTGGTTATAGGTTTCACCTTGGCATTATAACATTTTATTTACGTTATTTCTGCTGACAACCCCTCAACCCTTCTGTAGTAGGATTTGGACAGGATTCAAAGGCTGCATTGGTGTGGTTCAGGGAAAAAGGAATCAGATCCAACCGAACAATTTTCGGAACATTGGTGACACCTGTTGTGGATATCTAAGAGGTTATCAAACCTACGTTTATCACAGACGATCACTTAGATCTGAAGTGATACCACTTGTTTAAGGTTTGAAAACCCCCTATTTTTGAGCTGCCTACGATATTGGTATGGAGTTATCTAACTTGTATTTATTTGTACAGGTAAGAATTCACAAAATATACGGTAGGGCTAATAGACATTAAATGGCTCTGCTCCAAGACAAATCACTCTAGAAGTAGCTACCAGTATTATAAGGAACATTCGTATAGCATCGGTTTAGCTCAAGCGGTTTAAGGCCAGCGAATCCTCGTAGCGCAGTTTGCAACGAGGATCAAGCTGACGTCGGAGTCAGGTGTCAACTAGACTTGGTGAATATATCGATGAACCACCTCAAAGGTGGTTTTTAAGGCACTGGTTTCGTTGTGATGGCTGACTAACAAGAGTACAGATGGAGATAGCTTTGGGCAAGCTTGAAAAAAGAGGAAGTTTGTCCAACAGATTGATTTTGGTTTCATTTATAAATTAGTTCCTCGAGTTTATTACTTTCCTCCATTTTGGCTACCGCCTCGGTGGTAAGACACTTCATTCATGCCTATCCAATTACCAGCCCACTGCTGTAGTTCCACCCAAGCTCAGATATCTCAAAAGACCTACTCCATAAAACCTCGACAGCGTGTCCAACTAGTGGCCGCTAAGCTACTTCTTTTGGAGAGGGTCGTTGGCCTCTGCCGCCAAGTTAGCCTGTTATAAAAATAGCTCTATTGTACCCTTACACAAGGGCCGGTTAAGTATTCGAACAACCTTATTTTATTTTGCACATTAGAAGTTGAGTTATCAAATATATGAAGAAATTCCAACGCATTATCATTTGCATTAGTGCAGTCGCCAAAGGAAATAATCGGCGTTATCTGGTGAAAAATTTCCCACCAACAAGGTGCTAAATTTGAGGTAGATATCAACAAATGTTGTGTTAATTTTCCTAAAGCTCGTGAGATTATTTACTAAATAAAATTGTTTATTGCTACCGCAGAATTAAATTACCATAGCATGAAAATGTGCTATAAGAATGTTTGAAGATTAGGACAAGTGATTCATGGAGGATCATTTCAGGGAGGCTGTGGCTTATGCTTAAGTGAAACCAAATTTTGGACTCCATGAATCACCGAGCTGCGAGTGTTGGATGATGCTCATGATATTTACGTGGATATGAAGGCAAGGAAGAAGAAGGGAATACGGGGACAGAGCAGCCGGACTCCTCTTTTGTGCGTATGCGGAGAATGAGACGCAGTGGTAGTGACGGTCACTTCACAGACGGAAAGTTTATTACTGCCTGTACACACGCCATTGCCGCATTTAAATATTCACCAAACTTACGCGGTTTGAGTGAGAAAAGGAAAAGTGGTTGGGAAGTATTCTGAATTTTTTAAATGGTGGACACTAATTATGTGACCTCCGCAGACCGTAAATGATTAATGATAAGCTTTGTAAGCAAAATTGAAAAAGAATGTTTTTGCAAATACTGTAACCCTTTTTTGTTTAAGACTTGAAAAAATCACATTTTTAACACAGTTGCCTGGTCTGCGTATGCAATTTGTTAGTGGGTTTTAAATGTGGTTCTCCAATATAAAAATAAAATAAAGAAGCTAAACCTTCGTGTTAAAATAAGGGCAATAAAATTTAATATGAATTGGGACTCTTTTCTTCTCGAAGAAGGCTTTGTGGCTAATAGGGTGTTAGGAGTAAAGTTAAATCTACAGTTAGAAATTGGATACGATTTTGAAACTGTGACGAAAAAAGTTGCTTAAAAGGAATAATACGGATCTCAGGAAGCTTATCTCTTCCCATGTAATCTGCTCGATCGCAAATTTTTCTCCTACTTCTAACTGCCTTGATTCGAATATCGCAATCTCCACTGCTTGAGGCGTTGACGAGGGAACTGCCGACAAGTACCGCCAAGGCCTAAAATATGACCGTTACTGAGAACCCAAATAAGGGCAATTTAAAAAAAGGCTTCTTTTCAATGGATTAACTATTCGTTTTTTAAACTCATTCATCCTAATCCTCACAAAGCACGCCCACCACCTTCTATAACAGCACACTTTTCTTATTAATAATTATTTTGAAATTCCATTATTTCACTCCGGCCACACTTTGCATTTACTCCTGTATTTGATTAAAATCACCAGCTGCAACTTTTAAAGATGCACTCCTAGTAAAAATCTTCAAGGAAGCGGATCTTCGAGACAAACGAGGGCAATATTTTACCCAGAAGGAGCTGACTCACTGGGGGCTTTGAAGAAGTGCGCACGTTTTACGACCTCCTGTAAATCAATTTGTCCTTTGGCCCGTATCCAGCACGCATTTATTAGGTGCCCCTCAATTACCATTATCATTAAAAGATATTATCATTTCGTACATAAAGCACACCAAAAGGTGCTGCCTTGGTATTTCCGAGGTACGTCAATTGGTGGACTAATTGGGCAAATAAAGTTGTTCGACCGCCATTACATAGGGAAGTTAGTTCTCCTCTGTGTATTCTTGCTTAAAGGAGCAAATTTTTACCAAAGTGAAACCAAAAATGCTTGATAAGTTTTTTTTTCCCGAAGAAATAATATTGCTTTAAAAGGGTTAATTTACCTTGATGTTTAGGTACCGCAAATTTAGGCGCTATTTAAATAAAGTCTATAAAATAAAGGCAGCCATTATTGCATAGCCGAAGATAAGAGAGAATCATATTAGGATTGCATTCTTCTTGATTCTTTTTCGAGGAATCGGACAACTAATTGATGGTTGGATAGGTAAGTATTAGGATATGTAGGTAGATGGAGGGGTAGATAGGTAGGAAGGTAAGACGATCGGTCAGTCCTCCGGGATGTAGATAGATAGGAAGGGATGAAGAAAAGAGAAGAAAACAAGAAGAGGACGAAGACGGTGAAAAAGTGAAGAAAACATAGTGGAGAACGTTTCCTTACACATACCTAAGTAGTTTAAGGCATTATCGAGTAGATAGATAGGTAAAAGGTTGGTGGGCAGATGGGAGAGAAGGTGGGTAGGTAGGCTGAGGGATAAATAAATGCTTGATTGAGTACGTAAATAAAAGGCTTTGTAGTGCTAAACAAACTTCCTATCAATGATGACCAAACTTCTTCAAAAAACAAACGAGTATTGCCTCCGTGAAGGAATAAGGCAGCCAATTGAGCAATCACAAATGTGTTTCTTCTAAGGTTGTTTATTCGCTAAAAGAGTCACTGTGTAATTATCTAATCGTGTCTAATAGAAGAGTGAGCTTGCAAATTCCACGTTTGGAATTTGGTTTGCCTCTAGGATCTAGGGGCAAACGCAGCCTTTGATCCGTCCACTTTGGCGTCACTTTTATCTCCAAACTGTATTCCTTAGGCGGCAATTAGTCACGTGATTGGAGAGTGTCAAGACACTGCGGAGGTGTCTCCAAAGCAAGCGAGGTGTATTTCATTAACTGGTTTCCGGGAGATCATTTGTGAGAAGGATATTCCTTTAATGTGCCAGTACAGTCCGTAACACCTGCTCAGGAAGGTAGGATCGCACCCTCCACCCTGGTAAAAGAACTTGTCGCTAGATGTCAGGATAATTCCGTTTATAGACGCCCGTAGTCCTCCCGCCTATATCTAGTCCGCTCATTTCGCATGAGCGTAAAGCAACTGTTAGTTGCTAATACGAAGAACGTACGACCACAACCTACCCACTCCCACTTGAGGTGGCCGTCGCTAATGTGTGTCATCACCACTCCCGCTAGACACAACGGAAGGAGACTACTTATTCATGGTCAGAAATAAGGACGACGTGCCTCCTAAATGTGGTCGAGTGATGGAGCGTACCTGGGTGATTCGGCATCAGATCCAAATTGTTCATGCTGTTCGTGTTCAAGCCAACGCCTCCTGCTACCACATGCCCCACTTTCTTCAAATGCTACACAAATTTGACAAGAAACCACTGCAACTTGATCCCGAACCGACTTCAACATGCATTCGCGAAGCAGGCAGACTCGGGCCACATCCACCAGGTTGCACTAGACCTCCATGACTCGACATGACACGATACGAGGGTGGCGTCGAAACGATGGGGAAGTAGGTGAAGGAGGAGGAGGAGGAGGGGGATGGAGGGGGAGGAGAGGGAGGAGGGGGGGAGGAGGAGGAGGAGGAGGAGGCACAATACAGGACAGTGGTGTAGCAGTTGCCCGGACTAATGCATTCGCATGCCCCACAACGCCTGCATATCAACAATCGTAGGCACTGCACACGTCCATACAAGTTCAAACGAGTCGGTGCAGGACGCTCTACCGGAAACCGTGTGAACACTTTGCATGCCTGATATACACTGCATGCCTTCGCACACCTCTCCATCACTTAATTACGCACCCACCATGTAACTACCTATTAACGACTGCCATCAATCAGGACTCATGTGAATCCCACGGTCACATTCTGCTCCCCCTTAAACTCTTCCCTCGCCTACCTGTCTCTCCCCACAACTTCCTCCTTCATTCGTCATGGGGACAAACAGAGACGATTGAAGGTGCAGAACGCTCCGCATCCACATAGCCACTCCCACCCCTGTTGCAATCATACACTCTCTCATTAACACCTCCCTGAACGACCACTCTACTTCCATACTAAACACCACCTCCTCTGCCAGCACACTGTTGATTGGCATGACATGCATGGCAGAAAGCTGTTTCCCTTTAGTGGAGTAATGTCCTCCACCATTCCCCAAGCCAACTGACCTGTCAGACACAGCTAGGCCTCCTCTCCCCACTCCACTCCACTCCGCTCCACTTTATCCACCAACACTACACGAGTCCGCTCATTTGCCCAAAACCTCCTGTCAAATCCACACTATTCCACCAGCTTCACAGTCTGGGCTGCGTCAAGAATGTCTTTCACTTCCTCAATCAAACACCTTTAAGGTGGTGGATTCGCATCTGGCAACAGTGGGATTTACTGAAAACATGGGGTCATGTGGTCAGAGAAACACGAGTTGGGGAAGAGGGGGAGGAGGAGTGTGGGACAAAATATTCTCGTTGGCATAAAAAAGGTGGCATCGTCGGTTGGATTTACAGGGCCTTGCACACGCCCAGTCGGTAGTAGCAGTGTGGACAGGAGTGCTCCACGTCTTTGAAGCTTTTCACGTAGAAAGGGATCAGACAACAGCCCAATATGCCACTGAAAACGTCAAAAATGTGTCAACATTTCCTTTCTTCCCTCCTTCCCTCCTCTACGTTCTGCCTTTATTTGTGCAACCTTAAACGGAGGGAAAGATGGGCATTTCTGCTTCACTCTCAGCCCTACATTCTCTCACACCATCAACCATGTGGGCATTCGAACTATTTAGGCGATAATTTAGGTAAACATTTCATTTCCACGTTCTCCGGATTCCATTCTCTAAGGCACCGATGAAGAGACATGGCATTTGACCATTTCTATTTATCTTTTACTTTACATAATAAGTGGAATTTAACTTGTTGCTGTCAGGACGAATTTCACCAACTGGTGATTCACAGATGATTTGCTGTTTGATGCACCACCGGTGTCCTGTCTCCGAGGTAAATGCACCACCACAATTCAGACACTCCACTGTTCACTGCTTTTTTATCGGCTATCGTAAATTAACCGAGAAACCACGTCGTGCATTTGCGATGCTAAACTTGAGTGAGAGAATCGGGACGCCTCACGCTTTGGAGGCGCAAGTGAGCAGCGCATCCACACAGACAGTAATTTTCCGCAATAGCCAGAGAAAGGGTTTCCTTCTCTCTGGTCGACCACTGCAAAACCTGGAGTAAAATGTGTATCTGCTGTATCTGCTGCTATCTCAAAAACTGTCTGCATTAGGAAGCTCTTCTGAATTTATGGCCCCTAAAATTCAGTTTAATAGCAGGAGTTTGCCCATACTTCTCATTTCCATTATAGTCAGAAGTCCGTCGTTATCTTGTACCATCGTAAATCTCTTCGCCGCACTATTACTTCACGGTTTGAGGTTTTAACATACTGATTACATCCGGATTAAACACGACATGTCACCTTACTCCAATTTGTAACGGCTAATATTTACCAATTTGACATGAGTAAATATGGATCATCGCAAAGGACCCAACAGCTCTACAACCTCATTTTGTGCGGTCATTGCGCACTTGTGCAAGCTCATTTACCAAATTTTAAATGACATCCACAAAGTGATGCTTTTCCGCACACTTAAACTAATTCCTAGGCCATGATGACAAAATTCATCAAACCATGTAATGCACCTTCGTAACTGAGGAAAGAGATGATACAACCGTTGTTTATCCACCTTACAGTTCTTTTTGATGATTATACTGGTCATAAGATAGAAGAGAGAAGAAGACCGGGAAGGAATGAACTCACCCAATCGCGGCACATCCTGCACAGGAGAGCCAAACGCACATGCCGTTTCTGTACGTCACGTTGGAGACCACCTCCACCTCACAGTTGGGACACTTGGTGACTGTGGGAGTCCTGTGATGGATCACCGGTTCCGAGACCACCGGATTTGCTGAAAAATGCACCAGGAAGGAGGCGGCAATAGGCGGTAGGCTTACGCATCCTGCATCTTTGAAGTCACAACGGCAATCGCGCCTGTGGTGGGATATGCCACTGCTGAGTCATTTCTGTTTGACGGATGCACTGGCACTTTGCCTGTCTTCCACAGTTCTCACTTATTCATACACTTTACCCAGTTCTTCACCTTGCCATGCCGTGACAACGTTTGCATGAACCGTGACGAGAAGGAGGTCGTTCCAGTAGGGTTGGGTCTCTGTTCAGTTGCACAAGTATGGTAGGGAGGATATGCAAAGTCCGTGCCTTTCTAAGTCTAAAATGCTCCTATGGTGGGTCCAACTCCCACTTTCCCTTCGTTGGTCAATGCAAAAATGTAGTTTCGAGGGCAAGCTCCTAGTTCCCCATTCAAACCATCGCCAGACACGTTACGGGGAGTCGATTTTGCCGTTCACATTCTGTCACATTAGTTAGATTCAGTAGAAATACTCATGGGATCTTGAGTGAACATTAAAGGCAGCCATATTTCTCCCCTTTGGCTGTAGGGCTGTTGAATTTGGCTGTACTTTCGTTAGACGTCAAAACTGCTATTTTGACTAGTTTTCTGACTTTATCTGCGGTGTCTTTGCGCACATTTTTCTTCATTTAAGGTCAACTTTATCCTCTATGGTCTCAGGAATTTACTTACCTACTCTCGTTTTTACTGAAGGATGCTTGTCTAAAAAGGCTGTTATAAACACATAAATGAGCTCCTAATTGTCATCCTTTGATCTTTTGACTTTGTTTACTCACTTGTTCAGTTATTTATTTAGGATAAAACTCGGCATTGGGGGTGAACATCCTAATTCCAATCGAAGTAAATAAGGTGAACCATGAACCATTATGGTCTATGATAAAATCACTCTTCTTGGCTTTTTCGATCAAAAAGAGAAAGTGAATCTCACACCACTGGAGGAACTTACTAATCAGCCCATCAGCGACGTCATCAGCACATTTAAATTATGCGTTCGTATTTGCTAGACAGAAAAAGGTTGGCCCTACTTTCGGCTGACTAAACTAGTCCTAATATGTGTCTGTTGAAGTACAAAATCCATGGGCATGAGTCATGGAACCCTAGAAGCCGATTTCTTCATTGCTTAGCATGATATCTGACCAGTGTTTATAAAGATTATCTGATTAGAACAACGTAGGGCGCATTTGCCTATTTCAAAGGCTACTAGTGCTGACCTTTTCGCAAAGCCTTCAGCATTAGGCGAGGAAGTTGACATTTGGGGAAGGTGGGTGAGGTAATGGGCATAAAGACTAACCCGACGGTTCGGCGCAATCGGCTAAAGGCAAAGGTGTCTGAGGCACTCCTTCTCCCTCGGGCGACGGAGTCGGTGGGCCTAAAAAGGGGGTTGTTTTAGCGCTTTGTGTTAATAGGCATCCAAAAAAATAAAACTTATCAAAGATGGTCTTCAAATAGTTTCTTATTATGGCATGTAACATTAATTTAAAATACTTATCCATGATCACTATTCATAAAAATTAACTCAAAAAAATACTTAAATGGCAAATTTAAGCTCTAACTACCCCAGAAAATCCCTATATGTTAGTTTATACAGTAACGTTAATGCAAATAGAGATTCACCGTGAGCCTTTAGTTCTAAATTGTACAATTTTAGGTTCTAAATAGGCTCTTTTTAAACAATAACATCCTAAGCCTACGAAACAACCAAATCTTCATATCTCAAGTTCTTTATCTAACTGTTTCAGAGTAAGTGTTTAAGCTGCAAAATAGAGATGTTTAAAGTTGCAAATAAACCTCTAATGACAAAATTCCTGTACACATCGATCTAGTGGAACTATAATCTTGAATGTTGAGTGAATACTGAGAGGAAAAGCATAAACTTGATCATTCGTAACATCCCTAGGAGAGCATATTCTAGTGGCAATAACTAAGACACAAAAGGAAGTCAGCCGAAACATGGCTGTAAACGGGGCAAATTCTGTCACAAAAATGGCCTACTTGTGCAAAAATAATGTATTTAGAAATTATGTACAACTAATTATTGCATTGTTTAATACAGATTAAAAAAAAATTTTTGTATTTATCTATTTCTAACATGCACGAATGTTTTGGCAAGGGGATGATTACAGTACTAAAACTACCAGAAGATAATACACGCGGCTATGGAAAAACATAAAGAAACCAAGGAGAAAAACGTACATGGTTTAACTTCTTCCTCCGAATTATTTTTGGCTAAAATTTGAGAGCATAGCTATAATTTCGATAACCAAAAATGATCTGAAAGTGGTTATACATGTATTTTATTTAAAATTAGTTAGGCACAGAATATTAGCCTTGTATGCACTTAATTATTAAGAGTTTAATCAAAATTTCAAAAAATAAAGTATTTATGTAAGGTTCCATAAATGAGAAAGCTGTTTTGCATACACTAAAACTTAGTAAAAAATGCTTAAGAAGTTTGTAATTGTTGCCACATTTAATTTACAAAAGGTGGCAAAAACAATGAGACCTCAAATTTGACATATTGGCACTAAATAAGAAAAAATGCTTGACAAAGTAGACTACTAATTCTTTGAAAAATGTCCGCAAAATTATGTAATCCCTACCGGTTCACAAAAAAGGTCTGCAATTATCCAGAACTTCCTTAATGCAAAACATACGTTTTTAATGAACGTTGTCTGCAATATTAAAATCTCTCTGCAACGCAAAAGACGCACTTAAAATTTTTCATATACATCATGCTAACCACGGTTCTTTTATGTTTTGAGCAGTTTAAAAATGTGAAAACAAAAAAAATCACATGACAAAGGGTGGCTCAGTGAAAGATATGGTCACCTCAGCTAATAGGGCAGTTTATAAACAAATTAGTTTGATTAGTTAACCAAAGCTACCTAACAATTAGGAAAAATAAAGAGGCAGATTTTGACGTTTTCCTTAAAAAAGGCAGAAGTACTGGAAAGTGGCAGGAAACATTAACGAACACGGACGTACAAGACATCGTGTATTTTAAAAAGTCCAAAATTGACAAGACCTACATGTTTGATAAATTTAAAAATTAATCACAATCGTTTAGAATCTTTTTATATTAGTGACTAAATTCATCTAAGTAAAATAACATTCGCTAAAAAGTTTAAAAGCCTTTTTGGCTTGTCCTATTCGTTAAAAGAAGATGTGGTAGAACGCATCACATGTAGAGGTATCCTTAAGAAAAAATCCAATGACAAAGGCAGCACTCATTCATCGGCAAATTATTAACTGATGTAATTACTTTTATAATTTCAAGTAAATTATTGCTTTGACTGTG